TCTTCTTAAAGAAGACCCTTTAACGTTTCATGCAATGCTGGTTTGCTCACGATGAACTCTAGCTTTTCCTTGTCTGGGAAGCTCTTTATCTGTTCTTCGATTCTAAATGATAGCTCTTTAGAGTAATCTTGATTGTAGGTACTTGCTTTACATCACTTTGAGTATTTCTTTCCAATCCCTTCTGGCCTACAAAGATTCTGTTGAGAAATCAGATGAGTCTTATGGCAACTCCCATGTAGATAACTGTTTTTCTCTAGCTTCTTTTAAGATTCTCTCACTGTCTTTAACCTTTGGCATTTTAATTATGATGTCTTGGTGTGGGCCTTTTTGGCTTCATCTTCTTTGGGACTCTCTGTGCTCCCTGGACTTCTATGTCTGTTTCCTTCACCAGGCTAGAGAGGTTTTCCATCATTTTTTCATATGATTTTCAATTCCTTGCTCTCTCTCTTCCTCTGGCTCTTCCATAATGGGAATGTTGGTACACCTGAAGTTGTCTAAGAGGCTCTTTAAAGTATCCTTTTTTGGAGTTTTTTAATCTTTTTGCTGTTCTGATTGTGTTTTCTCTGCTTCCATATCTTCCAAATCTTTGATTTGATCCTCTGTTTCCTCTAATCTATTGGTGCTTCCCTGTAATGTATTTTCATTTCAGTTATTATATTCATTTCTGACTAGTTCTTTTTTTATGTTTCCTATCTCTTTGTTGAAGTTTTAACTGAGTTCCTCTACTCTTTCCATGAGTTTACTGACCATCCCTATAACCAGTGTTTTGAACTCTCCATCTAGTAGATTGATTGTCTTCATTTTGTTTAGTTCTTTCTCTAAAATTTTGCTCAGTTTCATTTGAGACATGTTTGTCTCCTCGTTTTGGCTGCCACCCTATGTTTGTTTCTATGTATTAGGTAGAGCTGCTATGTCTCTTGGGCTTGGTAGAATGACATTGAGTAATACGTGTCCCATAGGGTTAAGTGGCACAGCTTCCCCATTCTCCTAACCTAGGCATACTCTCTGTGTGAGCTGTGCACCCTCCTATTATAGCTGAGTCATGATTGCTTCTGGCAACTCAGTGGGAGGGATTTACCCCTACACCACTTGGCTTCAGAGACCAGCAGTGAACACTGTGGAGGATCAGCTGTGCAGGGGGCAGACCCCAAAAACTAGGGCTAATTTCAGTGGGGCTGTAGTGCCTACTGACTCTGACCCTTGATTATGTAACTTGTGGAAGAGGTTGGGTGGTTCTTCGACATGGTCTAAAGTTGTCCACTAAGTGTGCTGGCTCTGAGGCCTCCCAGGAGGTACAGATCAAGGTCACCCTCCACTGTACCCTGCCTGTGGCCACCTGGCATGAAGCCCACCTGCAGATGCCTACTACTTGTGCTGAGCTTGGAGGTACCCAGGAGAGGCCAAGCTGTGAACCAAGGCCAGCAGCTGCTGCTGGTGCCCAGCCTGGGGCCACTTGGCAAGTACATGGCACACAGAGGCCAGATGATGCTTGAAACATTTTAGGACAGTCTGAAGCATCAGCCAAGACAGGCCATTTGTATGGAAAAGCCACTGGAAATGGGTTGGTTTAGGCCCCAAAATTGGATAGGCTGGAGTCTCAGAGAATCACCAGGGCTGGGTAAACTGTGTTAGCCAGGTAGATGGAGACTCAGATATGGCACCCCCAGTCAGTTCTGTGAAGGGAGGGCCCAAAAAAGGAACAACGGCCTCTGCCAGCACTTCTGTATGGGAAAAAGTTGCTCCCCCCACTCTTGCCCCCATGTCAGACTACTCGGCTCCTCCCTGGTGCCCCAGCTCTGGAACTCAAGAGTGAGTGGGTCCAGGGAAGTCTGGGTATAGGCCCTTTAAGAAGTACACCTGGGAATGACTCCATCAGCCCCCCTTTCTGAATGATGGTTGTTTTGTAGTTTAGTTATAATCCTGATGTAGTTGTGCGAGGATTTATATACCACATTTACCTAGCCATCATCTTGACAGGAACCCCTGGTATGTTTTCTTACCTATTAAAAATTTTCCCATCTATTTAAAAATTCCTGTATTTTCAACAATTCTCTTTTTTGGTTTTATGTGTATCTTTTAAACAGCACGTTAATGAATTTTGCTCTTTACTCAACCTGAGGATATGACCTATTCAACTTTATTCTAATATGTAAAAGATGTCTCCTATGTTGGGCCTCTTATTTTCTGCTGTTGTTTTGTTTGTTTTAAAATAAGTTTCGTGTTGTTTCTTTGTACATTTTCCCCTTCGACAAATTTATTTTACTTGAAAGTTCTACATTCAATTTCTAATATGGAGATTATGCATACATTTTAAATTATTTTAATACATACTTCTCTATCAACATCAAGAATGAAAGTATCTACATCATTAACCCAAATAAGGTTTCAGCCTGCCTATATTTCCTTTCTCTTACCTCTCAGACTGTTGACTTCCTTTGGCCATACATAGAGCCTATGACTAAAAATTGCTAAGTCCAAATTCCATGTGACGGCTAGCCAGGTATATCTTAGTATATAGCACCTCAAAATTAACTTAGAAGCATTTTATATATGGGGAACTCTTAGGAATCTAAGATTTTACCACCTCAAGGAAATTAAAGAATTTAGAAATATTAAGCACTAAGAAGAGTTTAAGAGTGTCTACTTGCCATTGAGAGGATGCAAAGTGGATGCAAAACCCTGCTGCCTCCTCCATGAAAGTGCAGAGTTCCAACAGGGTCAGGCAGTGGGCTCATGCAAGGCTGATGCACCCAGAAGTCATCAGCTCATTGGGGAAGCCTGCTGTCTGGTATCATCCACACACTCCCTTGCCTAGCTGTCCTCTCTGTCACCAGTCAAGTGTGCAGTTCCATTCTTCATGGCCTTTTTCCCGTCCAGAAAAGCATACCATGTTTTCCCTCCACTTGGACTTGGTTATTACAGAATTGGGTATGAACATTTTTAATTTTTAAAAAAAGACTTCTGAACTACCTACCAATTTAAAATGTATGCAATTCAAAACCCATTCCATTTAGCCTTTCTAAAGCATTTCACTCAAGTTAGTTCTCTGTGAAGACTCCCTAAGCCCTACATCTTGTTTTTAAAAATCTAAACCCTCCTGGTTCCTATGATATGACTCTCCTGTTTTTTTCTCCTCTTCTTCACTCAATTACTTTAGGTATTAATATATCTTAGGATTCTGTCTCTGTCTTCTATTATTTTCCATCCATATATTCCTTCCAGACCATCTCAGCAATTCCTAAAACTTCAACTATCACCTACAATGCTGTGACTCTAAAACCAGGCCTTGCTCAGAACTCTCTTGAATACAAAACATCTCCAAGTATCTATTCCACTGAGATGTTCTCAAGGAACCTTAAGTGGAATATCCACACATAACAAAGGATTCAGGGAGAGGATTCTTGAAAGTAAAGACTACCCAGAAATTAAACTGACAAGTGGCAAGACTTCATTTTATCTACAAACAATTGATACTAACTATAATTTGACCAAAAGCTCTCCAATGAGTTGACTGGGGAAAATCTGTCAATAAGGAATATGTCCAGCTATAACTCATGATGCTGCAATCTGCCTGTGTTTTCTCGTTCAATAAATATATTACATTTTCATCCAGTCCCTCTTCCTAAATTCCTTCTTGTCACTCGTGTTCTACCCTACCAATGACCTAGATGGCTTTGCAGAATCATCTGCAAGTATCAGAATCACCTATAAAACTTTATGTACAAGTACAAATCTACTGGATCAAAATCTCTAGGAAAAGAGGCAAGTTGTAATTCAAAAAAAGAAACTCTATATGCCATTCTAATTAATATAAGATCACCATTCCACATCTAACCTGTCAATTCCATGCTTTATAAACCCTCTAAATCCATCTCACATTCTCTATAGTCAATTTCATGGTCTTTGCCCAGGCCTCATCTTTTCTCCTCTGGGTTATGCAAAAGCTCCCCACCTCACTTGTCTTTGGACTTTACTCTTCCCCAACCCACCTCCAACCTTCTAAATTCCTTAGTTCCGTCAGAGGAATCCAGAATCCAAACTGTGGTTCATGCTTCTCTCCTGTTTAAACTTGTTAAGAGCTCTTGCTACATTTGGGGTAACCTTTAACTCCTCCAAATGCCATTTGAGAGCTTTCTGGACCTGCTTATCTTTACTCTCATTTCTCTCAATATCCCTCCCCAATTCTTTATTCCAGCTGATCACTACCCACCCTCAACGTCCAACCCTCGTCCTACCTTCAACCCTCAAGGTTACATTAAGTGCCCCTCAAATTGATGTTCAAAATAGCACCATAAATTAGAGTGTGCTGAATGGCTTCTCTCCTTTTCAAATAGACTGTGCTGCTTAAGGGCAGACGTTTTCTTTTCCTCGTATCTATATCCTCAAAGCCTAACTGGTAAGTGTTTTTTGGATGAATTTGTTACCCATCTTTCATTAACTAAAGACATACATAACCACTGATAAAAGTTCTCACAATAATGGGTGGGGGAGGATAAATAATGACCCTTGCTATTCTATTTTCTCTTTACTTGAAATAAATCTGAAAATAGGGATTATTCTCTCTCATTCTTCTAATGGTTTGAAATGGCTAAAGCCCCAACAGTTCCCTCCTAGTCAGTAAGGCCCGTGAGGGCAGGGCCAAGTTTAATTGACCATCTCTGAGTCCTCTGTGTCTGACTGACACACAGGCTGTGCCTAGTAAGTGTTTATTAAACAAATTTTTAATTCAGCTATGGAACTAAAAATAGCAAGTCTTTCTCTAAGAAACTCATTTGTTCTTCTTTTCTCCCAACATATTTTTTAATTTTTAAAATTATTTTATTTTAGAGAGAGGGGAAAGAAGGCAGAAAGAGAGCGGGAGAAACATCAGAGCACACAACCCAAGTATGTGCCCTAACCAGCAATGAACTGGCAACCTTTTGGTTGGTAGGAGCACACCCAACCAACTGAGTCATGCCAGCCAGGGCTCCCAATCTTTATTTTTATATACCATTACCCACCTTGTTGACTATACTCCCAGCCAAATTTCCTGGAGTCACTTAATGCCTGTCCCAAAAGGGCAGCTTGATGCATCAGTTTCTTAGGAATACAACCTACATTTACACAAGTACCACCAAGACCTAAGAAAGAAAATAATAGTTTTAATGTTTTGTGCATGTGAATTTTTACACACATGCAGAATTAATGTTATTAAAACAGAAATGACAAATTGGTTGTAGGGTTAACATCATATGCCACAATAACACTTGAGTGATTTTTAACCACAGGTCTGTGAAGGAGGCCCAACGATAAGCAAAAATGTGGATGTGCATTTGAACAGTTCTCTGGAGACAGTGTCCAAAACTTTCATTTGAGTCTGACCTGCAAAGGGATCAGACCAAGGACTAGAATCCCAGCTTCCAGGCTTTACTCTTTGTAAGTCTGACTTCTCTGAGCCAGTAGTAGGTCCATTGCAAGGTGAATTATGTTTACTAATATAAAATTCTTGGCTATAATTTTTTGAGTAAGTTTGAATTTTTAAAAATGACTTTCATATTTTGGCAGATTTCTGGCAGGAAACAGAACCTCAAGCTGGTTAACTAAGGAAAATTTATAGAGAAATTATTTCTGGGGGGTGGGCAGGAAAAGAAAGGTGGTGTAGAACAATAGTAACAACTACTAACAGTGGCTCATCACCAACCTCCCGGAAGGGACAAGCATAGACCAAAGACAGATGGCCATGACAAGGGCTGTGGCCTTCCACAGGGGAATGGAGCCAGCTTGCAGCAACCAGTAGGGAGGAACCAGGGGAATGAAGACTCCTTCCCCACTCCTCTGTTCTCCTCTATCCTTCTGTTCTCTGCTCATTATCACAACAGGCCAAGCCCAACAGAAGCCAGAGGGTAAGGCTACTTACTAATTCATCATCCTTCTGGGACATAGAGCAGGGTAGAGACAATGAAGAATGGATTTGAAGCATAAAGAGAAAATATCAAGCACAAAATCTATGTGTCCTATTTTATAGCAAAAAGAACATGGAAAGGTGAGTACACTCACCTACAGCAAAGTCACAGGGCTGGAAGCTCACTGTATATTTTATTAAACTCACTTGGAATGATTACACACAGTAATTCAAACTGACCATCATGCAGACTTAAAAGTCAGTTATGAAATCAACATAGAAACACACACAAAAATGTTAGAGCAAACTTAAGCATGACACTCTACAACCACAACTATGTGAAAATATTAATGCATGTGTGCAAAAATTATTATGACAAAAGCGATGGAATACAAGGTCATGAATTTTTTTTGGGGGGGGGGAGCAAGATCTTCCTCAATTATTTTTATGCTTTCTAAATCAGCTCTTGTTAATTATATGATGTTCTCAGGCCAGTTACTTCACCACACCTATGAAACAGGCTAATTATACTTCCTGAAATTGTTGTGAGGATTAAATGAGACCAGCCAAGCCAAAAATGTATGTAAGAGCAGAGAACAACAAACAAAAACAGCTTACCCCAGGATGTACCCTGAGGGGATGGGATCACAAAATCTAGCACCATCACTTTCTTCCCCAAGATGGCAGCTTCCTATTTTTAAAAAAAAGCCACATATAAAGATCTTATCATTTGCCTGACACTCCCCTAATTTTTCTATTATCTAAATAAAAAGGCTGTGTTTGTATCATAGTTTTTTCTCTTTATTAAACTATTACAATAAAATCTTAGACTGTAACAGAAAAATTGGCTTTTTTTAAGTAGAAGAAATTTTTATGGTAATCATCAAAGAAATTATCTTCAAGTTTCATTTTTTTCATACCTGAGCACATGCAAGGCCACCAGAACCACCACCAATGACAATGAGGTCATAATCATATGCTGAATCTTCCTGAAGAAGCTTCTGTAATAAACCACTCTGATGTGCCTATAGTTTAATAAAAGGAAAGAATATGATATGACTTCTTTTAAAATTGTTTATTTTTATCTATGTTTAATCAGCATGGTTTTCTTTCACAAAAATCTGAAAAACAATCTATAATATTCATGTACATTAAAACTGTACATTTATCTGAATCGTCTTCAAATAAGGTCCAACTAGTTACACCATATGCCAAAGTACATGTTTGTTCATGTACTCCTGATGGGTAGGTATGTTAAATGACCCAGAGGTCATGACTTTATATGTATCAGATGAGGTCCTTTTCCTTGGGCTAATCATTAAAATGTTATATCCAAGTGCAAAAAAACAGCCAAATACCATTTGTCAAGATCCTCTGTATTTTCTTCTGTGCTATATGCTAGGCTTCCTTTTGAAAACAATGCTTATGTATCATCAGCAGGACATGCACTTCCAATATTTTCATGGTTTCTCATAAATTGATATAAACTTTGCAGCTTACTGATATATTTCCTATACAACACAAACCTTTTGGTTGTTCTTTCAGCAACAGTCATGATCCTGGCTCTGCACTATACTCCCTTGTTCACTTGGCCCTCCTTATACTCAGAAGTAGCTTAGTTGAAGTTAGAGATTCAATGTATGATTTAGTAATAGTTTTCTTTATAACTATCAGTTGCTCAATCCCATTATGTTCACTTTAAAAATGCCATGCAGGGAACCAGCTCATCCCAGGAAGCACAATGAAAGTGCTATGAAACTACAGGACTCAACAGACGGCATGTGGTTCACCGAAGGATGGATGCCCACAGAGGCTTTTGGCACAGTCTAAAAGGGACTCCTTTGCCCTCCTCACTTTAAGGTGTCCTTAGAGAAATTTGTCTCCTAAGCATCTGTCACCCAAGGAAATGCCTTTCAGTCTTCAAATAAAGTGAATAACTCTGCATCTCCAGATTCACGCTCTGTTATTATTTTCCACATTAAGATTGGCAACACCAGCACTCCTAACGGTTTTAGGGACTACAATTATATTACTTACCACCTTGTGAATTGAGTTACAGCTCCTAGGACTGATAAAGCAGACTATTACTAGATAATAATTCTAATCACAGATTAACATACAATGCAGATAATCTCTTTTCCCTCATGTAAAACATAATTCTTAATTAAAATTTCAGATGTAAATATTTAATCAATCACTCATTACTATCATTTGCATACATACATAAAGGATACAAGACAGCAGAATTGTAATAAAAGTAAACAACTAGTTATAAAATAAGAACCTTACTTAATAAACATCAGTTTTTATCTACCACTACTTAACTGACACATTCCTGTTCATTACTGTATTTTAGGAATCAAAAATCCAAAGGCCATGGGCCTTTGCAAAGCTCCCAGGGTTAGCAGTCTTGACAAAAGTTCTACTTACCCTAGCATAAAATGTTAGCATTGGTCTCATTTTACTAAATATTAAAGAGAATAGCCATTGTTTCTCTCCCCATTAGGAGAAAGAGACCAGGGTCTCCAGGGTGGCCCACCTGGTTGTCTGGCAAACTCACTCAAAACTTTCTCCTTAGTTTCTGAAGTCTGAGCTCGTAGAAAAGCTAATTTCCATCAAAGTAATCAAGATTTTTCTGAAAACCACCCTATACACTTTCCATCTTACAACTTCTAAAAGACTAATACACCCCTAAAAACTATTCTATCCCCTTTCAAATATGTTTAAAAACAAAACTTGAACAAAAAGCATTAAAAAACATATAATACCATCATTACCTGGAAAGTTTGGTCACATCCACCTATATGTACTTTATTCACAAAAATATTAGGCACAGTTCTCTGATTAGTGATCTCTGATAGCACTTCTTGAACATTGGCCCCATCATCTAAATAATAAAAAATTAAATATATAAAAACATCAAAAGAGTTCCAAACCTTTGTGAGTCAAACTAAAGTGTTACAACATTCAAATGCTCACACAGGTACTCACCCACACAAAGTCAGTGTGTTATATAATTTTATGAAATACCTTAGGAAATAAAGATCAATCTACTGATTCCTTTTAAAATAAACTCTTCTAAATTAGATTTTAATATATAATTCAATTATTATGCCAGACAAATAGGTAAGAATCCTCTTTAAAGAGCAAATATCAAGATAAAATCTGCTTGAACAGTAATAATGCAGAAAATATTTCCTACAAGCATATCTGGAAAAAAAAAGTTTTTATCCTCACCTGAGGACTTTTGCTTCTAGATAAAGAGGAAGGGAAAGAGAAACATCGATGCGAGAAAGAAGCACTGATTGGCTTTCTCTTGTATCCACCCAGACCAGGGACTGGTGCCTCGAACAGGGGTCACATGTCCCTGCACCCAGACTAGGAAATTGAACCCACAACCTTTTGCTTAGGGGGTGATACTCCAAACAACTAAACCACAACTGGTCAGGGATGAAAAATCTTTATCATCATAGTCCAAAATCTGTCCTCTATCCCCAAAAATAAAACCAGGTATTTGGTATACTCTTTAGAAAAGTCTCAAAGATTCAAGAACATTTCACTTATTAAGGTGGCTAGCTAAAAGGAGTTGGTGGGGTCCTATGAAAGCAGGAATAAATTTTTTTTCTGTTCACCACTCTGTCTCCCACCTCTATAAAACAGATGTATGTGTAAAATACTCAATTAATATTAGATCGATTAATGCTGTTTGACAAGAATTCAAAAGTATAAAGCTAAAAGATTGATGCTCTCTCCCTCATCGGTAATACAATCAGGAAATAGAGGCAGATTGTTTTCATTTATTACAGCTTAACCTATTTTGCTAGGTTACCAAATACATCTGAAATGTCTGAAGTACTTCAGTGTTAGCAGCTTATACACCTTCCTCCCACTCGTCTCAAATAACAAAAAAATATAAATTAAAAAATCTACACCAAATTATTTGTCATGCAGAGGTTCCTTTTCTACATGGTTGAACATAGATGGAAAAAGACTCATCTAACCTAAAGAGGCAAGAGTAAGTTGAAATGAACAGAGCAAATGAAAATAAGTCAATCTTGTTGATGGTTATTAAAACAACAGTACTACTAACCATTCCACTTACCAACTTGATCAAGTTCCAAGATTTTACATTCAACTCCCAAAGAAGAAAAGAGTTCTTTAACCTGTAACAAAAATTTACTTAAGTTTTACTTTTGCAAATAATGAACAGTTATGAAATATGAACACAATAATAAGAGATGTCCAAAATAAATGCTCTTCAGAAATACAAGCTCTGGCCCATTTTTAAAAAATTTTCTTCCTCTATACACCTTTCCAGAATAATCTCAGCCCAACTCTTCCCCTCTTTTACCCATTGAATCCTCAGCTTTCAACTCTATAACTTTTGCCAAATCCCTTTTCTGAACTCAAGACAGTCAAAATTATTTCTCCACCTGAAATGTCCCCTGGCACCTCACATGCAGCATGCCCAAAACAAAACTCATCTTTTTACCACAGACCTTTTCCTCTTTCTGTATTTCCTTTCAAGAGTCATTAAATCATTCCACAAATATTTATCCATCAAATACCCCCTATGTTGTCAAGAAATAACAATAGACGAGACAATCTATGCCCTCTAATAGGGGATAATTCACATTGACACCATTTACCAATTGCCTGAACAAGAAACCCCAGGGCCTTGCTACTGAAATAGAGGACAGAGGAACAGCAGCATGGGCATCACCTAGCAGCTTGTTAGAAATTGAGAATCAGGACTTGGATCAGAATCTACATTTTGACAACTCTGTGAAGCACTATGAGTCATTTTAAGGACTCCCTCCTCTGGCCACATCTTATCCTATACTAACTCCCCATCCATCCAATGAATTACTAGGTCTTAATCAATTCTCTATGTTGAATTAGTGCACCTTTCTGGTTCTCAACAGTTGCTATCTTAATTTAAGCGATTTCTCAGTAACATCCTAGGAATTCTCTCTGCATCCAACTTGGTCCCTTCCAGGTCTCTAAATTGCAGCCAAAGTGGTCATTCAAAGTCTAATTGTTACCATTACTTAAACTCTTTCAGGTCCTCAACCCTCAAGATAAAGTCCAGAGGTTCCATTCTAGTATGGAGGCATAAGGAGCCTGGCAGACTCACTCCCTAACAAAACATCCACAACTGATGAAATTATTTAAAAAAGAACCACTTAAAGTCTCTGAAAATTGTCCTAAGGGCACACACCAAATGACAAAACGCATATTTGAGAAAATCTACTAGATGTCAATAAAAACAAAGAGAGTATGAGGCACTTATGCTGCAACCCATACTCTCCCTCCTATGCCTTAGGCTACCTTGATGAAAGCTCTACTTCAAGTGGAGAACAGCCAAGGAAATGAGGTTTCCTGGTCCTTTAAGTCTAGTCACCAAAAGGGGAAGACCACCAGCATTTCTGTCTTTCTACAGTTCCAAGTAGCAAAGGCTACTTTCCTGATGAGTATGGCCAAAATCATGGGGAACCCCTTTCTCCACCGAGCCTGCACTGAGAGACCAAAGGCTTTACACTAGGCTTAAAATACTGGGGACCTGATCACCCTTGCCTCAGCTGACTTGTACGGTGCAGTTCCAGGCTGGGAGAGGTAAGCTAAGAAGAACAGAGGCTACTGCCCACGCACAGTTCTGATGGTAAAGTACGGTTGTTACTCTAAAATAATTGGGTCACTGTCCCCAGCCCAAGCTCTGGAACAAGGATCTCAGAGATTCTGCTCAGGAAAAAAGGCAAATCATAAGATTAGAGAGCTCAGAAGCTCTACCCAAAGGACATGCCTTTATTTTAAACTGTGGGAAAGTCAAGTCTAAAGGCATTCTTGAAAATAATGGGAACTGTGGTGATAAGCATTGAAGAAGAAGCTGGGAGCTCCATGACAGCAGCAAGCTGACCTGTAAGCCAGCCAATTTACCAAGAAAAAAAACAGGGAAAGACAAAGCTAAGAATAGTACTTCTAGGGTCGGAATAAGTCTCAAACTTGCTATGAAAACTATCTCTGCAAAGGGGCCTAGATTTAATTGGATAAGAGTGTGAGATAATTTACACTTCAGGGCATTGTCAAAAAAACAGTACAACCAGCCTAAAATTAGTGGGTCATAACATCTGGGTATGATACCAAGAAAGACAAAAAATATAACACAGTCAACAAGAACCCTGTTAAAATCCCAGTCATTCCAGTGTCACTGTCTACATATTCAAGTCTGTGTTCTCTGAGAAGTGACATCAAAGGCTTCATCTTTGGCCCTAGCTGGTGTGGTTCAGTGGATTGAGTAGCAACCAATGAACCAAAGGGTCATCAGTTTGTTTCCCAGTGTAAGGTACATGCATGGGTTGCAGGCCAGGTTCCCAGCACAGGGCACAAGAAATGTAACCACACATTGATGTTTCTCTCCCTCTCTAAAAATAAATAAATAAAATCTTTTTTTTTTTTTTAAAGGCTTCATCTTTGGATGAAAATAAATTTCCCTAAAATAATCCAGCCACTCACTATCAGGAAAAAAAAAGAAAAAGCCATAGACTAGGAGAGATGCAGTTTCTAAATTTGCTACAATATATTACCTAAAATGCCCAGGTTTCAACCAAAAATTACCAGACATAACAAAGAAACAGGTAAGTGGATCCATTCACAAGGGGAAAAAAGCAGGCAAGAGAAACTATCTCTGAGAGATTGAGATGTCATACCAAATACTCAAAATAGTCATTGCAAATATGCTCAAAGAATTAAAGAAAACTGTTTCAAGAGATGAATAAAGGTATAACGATGATGTCTGCTTCAATAGAAAATATCAATATACAGGTATAAATAATGAAAAAAATAACCAAATGGACATTATGGAGTTGAAAATTACAAAAACTAAAATTGAAAAGTTGACTAGTGTATCTCATCAGTTAATTGGAACTGGCAGAAAAATTGGCAAACTAGAGAATAGATCAATAGAGATTATGCAACCTTAAGAAACGGGGAAAAAGAAGAATGAAGAGAAACAGAGCCTCAGAGAAATATGGGACACTATTAAGCATACTAGTGGATACATAGTGTGAAAAACAGAAAAAGGAAAAAGGGGCAGAAAAATGTTTTTTAAAAGGTCCAAAAATACCAAATTTGATGAAAAACAGCAATCTACATTATTCAAGAAGATCAATGGCCTCAAAAAAATAACTTAATAAAAGCTCTGGAAAGTGATCAAATATCTATAGCAACCAAGTATATGTTCAATCACAAAAATTACAAATTTGAAATGGTAGAAAATTTTGTGATATTTATAGCTGTTTTTGCCCCACCCAACTCCCTGGTACTGCACGGCACAGTAAGAGGAAAGCAACAGCCCAGGCTCCAGTTATCTTTCACAGGAAAGCATAGAAACCAAATTTGCAATATTCTGGTCTGTTTAAAAAATGCTTCATTGGTCCCTGTGATGCCTAACTCAGGGTTGAGACAGTCAAAGTGGCTCGGTTCTCAAGCTAGGGGCAGCCACGAGAAGCAATCGGGCATGGTTTGTGAAAACTAAAAGAAAACTACAAATCTGACGATACCAGGGGGCAAGAGATTACAGCCAGAAGAACATAAAGCTAAGGCTCTCCCCACCCCCCGAAGAAAAAGAAAGCAGAGAGGAGACTTTTTAAAAACTTAACACTTTTTGAAGCAGCAATGTACATAGGAAAATTTGGATGATACATGAAAAAATCTTTGTACATTTCCCCCTTCAACAAATTTTTTTTACTTGAAAATTCTACACTCAATTTCTAAACTGGAAATTATGCATATGTTTTAAATTATTTTAATATTACACATTTTGCCGTGTAAAATGTGCGCCCAGGGTTTTGGCCCAAACTTCCAGAAAAAAAATTTTTCCTTATAGTTTTTAAATTCAATTATTTATTTATTCATATTTAGAAACAAAACTATTGTATTCCAGGGTATTATTTTGCATACGGTTATCATTATTGCTTTCTCAAGTTATACTTTTAATGCAGAAGCATAAATAAAAGAATTTAAAATATTTATGTAGATATGGAGTTAGTAATACCCATGTATAATGTGCATCCTTATTTTTCCCTCAATGATTTGGGTAAAATAGGTATACATTATACATGGCAAAATACAGTCTACTCTCAATCTACATCAAGAATGAAAGTATGTACAACATCAACCCAAACGAGATTTCAGCATGCCTTTACTTTCTGCTCTCTTGCCTCCCTGATTCTGTTGACTTCTCTTGGCCATACATGGAACCTATGACTAAAATTGCTAGGCCCCATATTCTGTGTAAGGGCCACCTAAGTATATGTTCGTATAGCTGCTAGTGCTGCTCCTGGGGTCACTTAGCAAGGGGCATGGGGCACTCTGAGGACAGATGCTGCTTGTTTGGGAGATTTAGGATATGTCCTTAGCATGAGCCAAGACAGGTTGTATAGAAAAGCTACTTGAAATGGAGTGGGTGGGTTTGCATGTAGGGTGCCATAAAGAAAGTCTCAGGAGAATTACAAGGGTCAGGCGAACAGTGTTAGTCTGGTTGATGATGACTCAGATATGTTGTCTACCTACTGTTTCTACAGGGGGAAAGCTCAACAAAGGTACAGAGGCCTGTGCAAGCACTTCTGTCAAGGAAAAAGCTGCACCTCCAACCCTTGCCCCCAATCCAGACAATTCAGTTCTTGCCTATATGTCCCTGGTGCCTTGTGAGCTGCTCCTCCAATGCTGGAACTCAAAGCAAGTAAGTCTGAGTAAGTTTGTGTGCAGGATCTTTAAGAGGAAGGCCTGGGTTTCCCGAAGCCCTCCTTCTCACTCAACCACAAACCTTGTTGGTTTTTATAGCCAGATGTTATGAAGACTTCTCTTCCTGGCACTGGAACCCTGGGCTTGGGAACCTGGTGTGGGACTGGGACCCCTCACTACTCAGGGGGGACCTCTGCAGCAAAGATAACCCTCCCAGTTTTTAACTGCCACACATGAGTGTGGCATCCAGCTGTTTCAAGTTTTTACCCCTCCAACCAGTCTCAATGTGTCTTCTTCTTTATATCCATAGTGAGCACTTCTATCCAGCTATATTTCAGGAGTTTCTGAATGACAGATGCTCTGTAGAATGAGAGTACAGTGAATACTCTCACTGTAAATGCTTACATTAAAAAAGAACAAA